AGGCACCTTTGTGTTGTGAGGCTGCACGAAGTCGGGAGGTAACTGCCGCACTCATGTTAGCCACTGCCCGTCAACCCGCCCGCAAAGAGAAGTCACTGCCACTCGCTCCAGTCAGACTTACAGATTTCCAATATTGCAACGCAGGTTGACTTCCTCCAAGCATTCCTGGCTAACTCTAACTACTGGTCAGGCAAAATGGTCAAGTTTCGAGGGATAGAGGTCAACGTGATCTCTCAATTCGACATCTGCAAACTCCCTGAATTTGCCGCCACGACCTCAAACCACCCTGACCCGTACCCGGCAGGGCCCCACCCATCTTATCCTACCGCAACATGCGCCGTTCCCATCTACCCTGGCTCTCAGATCTGGTTTGAGTACACTGTCGATGGACCCCACCCTACCGGCGCGATTTACTTTTTCAAGCTCATCATCAACGGAGTGGTTGTCACGAGCTGGGACTGCACAGCTAAACTGGGTTTCCATGGAAAAATGATGTACAACCTCGTTTCTGAGAGTCGAGGCCAGGTGTCGCGGCAAGCTCTGAGATTCGGAGATGGGATGGGGGAAGGGCACAGCGAGGACGTCGTGCAGGTCAATGTGTACCGGGTGGAGAAGAGAGTAAGAATCAAGAATATCGAGGAGGGCATCGGGAAGGTAGCCATCAAGACTGCTAAGGCTGATGGATTGCGGTAAGTGTGACCACACGCTTGACTAATCCCAGAAATTGATTGCCGTGGAACAGGTTGACAAACAGTGGCCTGCTTGAGCCTGGTATTCGCCCTAAACGCTATAAGTATCAGCTGCTTGACCCTGTTGACATGCCATACGCTGCGTTCAAGTTTCACTGTCGCTCAATTGGTGAGTGTCTTGCCAACGCGCGCGAGCCCATGGCTTACATGAGACAGAATACCTCGAGACGCATAGTGTGGCACCTTTACGCGATTGTAACTCTCCCCCTAGTGCAAGATCATCAATGGACACCCAGAGCTCTGGCAATGTTCAACTGATTCCGACCCCGACCCAGAGTACAACTCAAGGTCAATACGACCAAGATCCAAACCTGGGGAGTTCACCTTCAAAGAACACCACAAACACCTCGCCCGCTAAAGCTGCCACTGGAAACAAATCAGCAGAGCAAAAGGATGCAACCACAATCAAAACATCGCAGAGCCTTTCACGCATTCACCTCAGCGGCTCCGATGACTCCCTCAGTGTCAAAGCAAGAGACAGCCTTGAGGACTTGCCATCAAGTGTCACACGTTCTCCAAGATCACCCAAATCGCCAAAGTCTTCTAAAAGAGACACAGTCTCCGAAATCCCGCCTTCGCCGACTCGATCGCCACAGTCATCACGTCAAACGCTTGTGAAGAAACTCACAATCACTACCAACGAAGGGGGCTTGGACGAGGAGGGCAAGAAAGGCGCATTGAGCCCCTTTACGAGAGGTGGGTTGCTTAGGAAAGCAAGCCTGCCGCCGCGCACAGCTCCTGCTTCAGTCACCGAGTTCGGTCCTACGGTTGAAGAAGAGGTCATGGCCAAGATGCACGAGGAGAAGCAGGAGATGGAAGCAAACGCGCAGAAAAGTGCTCTACGAACGACCGCGGAGGAACGGGGTGGGAAGAAACTCATTGGATTCCTGTCGAGGCGGTTTGCAATCGAGAAGGGTGCCGGGTCTAACGCAAGTGCTGCGAGCAAGTGTATGGCAGGCCGTGACAATCGGTGAACGCAGCAGAGCAATTATTGTGAGCGGAGAGAAGTTACATAGGTCAAATTGAGTCCTGCATGCAGCTCAGAAATGAATACTCCTTAAGCCGCCGGATGTGGGAATTCTGCCGAGCAGCCATGATGCCGACGACCGCTTGTTGCTCCCCATTCCTTGACCAAACTATCACACGTCCTTTGAGAACAGCATGGCTTCCTACCGCCCTCGAGGCGGCTACCCTGGCCAATTGCATGGCTATCGACCATACCAGTCGTCCCAAAGAGATGATTTCTACGATGACCGGTCACGGTCTCGATCTCGCGACCACCGACCTAGCCCACCTCACAGACGAAGTCCTCCGCATGGTAAACCATAGTTCAGAGTCGGAAATGGCCTTTGAAAGAGAACATACTGATGTGTGCATGGCTTGAAGACTCCAGCAGGCCACAAACCGGACCAACGCAAGGGGAGTTCCACATTCGAGGCCGCGCCCGAAGTCCAGACCGACGACGTGAAAGCAGCTACGAGAGGCGAAACAAATACTACGCCGAGGAACCCAGTCCAGAATATGACGACCGCCGCTCCCCTTCGCCTCCCCGAGGGCGAGGATACCATGACCGAGACGCTCCCCGCTCACCTCGAAACTATCGTAGCAGAAGTCGAAGCAGGCACCGCAGCCCATCCGATGACCGACCACCAAGCAGAGGCAAGGCGAGCAAGGAGATCATGATGGAGGGACTGGCTCCTCATCTGACTGAGAACGATGTTCGAACATACCCGCCCGCCCTCACACACATACTCTGGCTCTTTCCACGGTGACTTGTTGTGTCTCTGCGAAGCATATGGCTAAGGTGTGGATCGTCGCACAGATATCCTCGGAACTGAAACAATACTACAATGTGGAGGGCCTTGATGATGTTCGGGTCATTCGCGATCGGCAGACAAGTAAGACTATACTGCTAATCTCCCGTTCGAGTGCATCACTGACCTGGCGGAAACAGAGCAGTCAAGACAATTTGGCTTCTTGCGCTTCGCGACACTGCAAGAAGCAGAAGACTTTATGGACCGCAACTATCCCACTCTTTACCTCTACGGTGATAGCAGCAAGTCTAACGAAGATTCGTCGAAAGTGCGGATAGCCTATGGCAAAGAACGAAAAGATCCGAGTCGAGGTGATGATCCGGATTGGATTTGCGGCAATGTATGTGGCGCACATCGAAAAAGCCCAAGGTTCATCGAGTTGACCTTTTATAGTGCAGCATCAACAACTTCTCGACGAGAAACCGATGTTTCAGGTGTCAGGCTGAGAAACCAGGTAGGCAGAACCAAGGTCCCTCGTTGCAGCTTGTGCTCATGTTGTGCAGATCCACCAATCGCTGTTCCAGCCAGAGCCTCCAACGTCGGCGACAACGATGCCTCGCCAGACAACCAACCCTCTCAGTTCCTCCTTCTTCGAGGTCTTGAGCCCTCCGTATCGGAAGAAATCTTAGTGAAGGGCGTGTCCAAAATGAACAAGCCAAACACATCCGCCAACCAGCGAGACGATGCACCGGCAAAGAAAGGCGCCAAAGTTGCATCCACTACCGGTGACGCGAATCTCGGAGCCAGGGAGGGTACTTTGCGCAGAGTTCTACTCGTCCGTGATCGAAGGAGCAACGAAAGTTGGCGGTATGGGTTTGCCGAGTACGACTCGATTGAGGATGCGCAGGCTGCATTGGTGAGATACAATTCATTCGACCGGTTTACGATAGCTTCGAAACAGGTCCTGGTCAGCTACATCCATGCCGGAGTATTCGTACCCGTTCTCAACCCGACGCCGGACGTCAAGCGCTTCTACTTCAGCCCCATTGGCAACCCAGCTCTGAAGTTGATGTACTGGGATGAAGGAGCGTACGTGACGGAGCTGGCGGTTTCGATGCCTACTCCAGCACGCTCAGGCTCGACGAAATCTTCCGCATCGGTCCTTGCAGCAGACCCGGGCATCAAATCAGCAAAGGATACGGACAAGAGCGCCAAGAAGCGAAAAGCACAGCCCGACACCGACGTGGCCGCAGGCACAAGCACCGCCAAGAAGCCTGCTCCTTCACATCTTCAATTCTGGAGCAATCGCCACGCCGAGCTGCACGGTATAAAGCACTCTTCGCAGCCGGGCGATTCCGCGAAATCGACGGATGGAAACAGCTCCACGGATGCACCTCCCTCTCAATCCTACGCTGACCCAACGCGGCATTGCTGCTACCTCTGTCTCCGCCAGTTCAACAGCGCAGCTGAAGTTAACAAACACGAACGACTGAGTGACCTGCACAGAACGAACCTCAACGACGATGCAAAAGTGAAGAAAGCGGAGGCGAAATTGGCGAAGCACGGCATCCAACATGACGGAGTCGCGCAGGAGGCAACGGGCCGCGAATACCGCGACCGCGCACGCGAACGACGGAAGATCTATGGCGTGGTGAACAAGAAGGGCGAACAAGTCGGCAAAGCGCCGAAGTCGTCTCGTGTGTCCTCGGACGACGAGGCTGCCGCGCCCCCGGTTCAGTCGAAGGGAGCGTCCTTGCTCAGTAAGATGGGATACACGGCTGGTCAGGGCCTGGGTGCGTCTGGAGAGGGCATGACCGCGCCGATCAGTCAGGACGTTTATGTTCAGGGCGTGGGATTGGGTGCGCAGGGTGGCAAGCTTGGCGATGCTGTGGAGCAGGCGGAGAGGAACACGAAGGGCGACTATACTGGGTTCTTGGAGGAGACGAGGAAGAGGGCGAAGGAGAGGTATGAGCGGATGGGGTGAGTGGTGGATTAGAGGTGAGGTGAGGTGAGGTACTGCGCTGGGCTGTGGATTGGCAGTGTTCGATGATAGAGCAATGATGAGAGCGACTCTGTTGTTATCAAAAATGTCCCGTCTGAAACGGTGCCAAGATTTCCACCCCGTTTAAACCAGTCTCCGTTCTCCTTTTCTCGATGTTGTCCTATATTGTTTGACATCTCACTCGAGCACCGAGCTACCGACATCACATCATACGTTCGTCACGAAGGCCACGTTTTCGGCCTATTTACCTACTCTTCTCCGATTCTGGTAGCTCAGCCTTGCTTCCGGTCCACACATATCACAAACTCTATCCGTCCACCCCCATGAGTCACACACCTCCCAGCCTCAGGCATCACGCTCTCTCCTGACTCACAACGCACAGTCCCTCTCGAACTTCCCGAATCCAAAGCACATAATTCGAATCTGCAGAATATGTTCTCGAATCAGCCCTCCCAGCTCGTCTGGGCCTTGTTAGGCCCAAGTCGAGTTTCTCCAGGCCAGATAGTTTAGCGGTTTAGAACAGCGCCCCGCAAAGGCGTCGGTCACCTGTTCGAATCAGGTTCTGGCTTTTCCAAGAGGATTTCTTTTTGTGCGTTTCGTTTTTGATTTTGGGATTTTGTTGTGCGGTGGGCATGGTCCATTCCTTGGAATTCTTTTTGGGTCTATGCGATTCTGGCTTTTGCAACTGGGCGTGGGGACGTGAGGTCCCTGGGGGATCAGGCCATGCGCACGCAGCCCCTTTGACTTGCATTGAGTCAATACGTTCGTACTGCATCTTCTTGAATGAAGCTTTTCCCTGCACTGGTATGCTAGCTTACTTCTCCTCCGTATATACGTCGCCGTATGTCGCGCGCAATCTGGAGCTCAAGTGTTGGCCGGCCGTCAAAGTTGACAGGGCCTCAGCATCCATAACACCGCCGCCATGGCCCACAATCTTGCCTTTAAAACTCGCAGCTCTCTCCTCCACGAGCGGGGATGGTATTGGCGTCAGCACGGTATCATCATCCGGCTGCACGAATACCGCTATTGAAAAGCGGTCCGCATTGCTCTCGCCATCCTGTACCGGTGGTGCTGTGAGAACAACGCGATGGACGGTCGATCTAAGAAGCCCACTGGTCCAGTAACTCAAGAGGTCTCCAATGTTCACAACTACCGGTGGGAAGGTCTTGGAATGGTAGTTCTCTGGAAAAACCGGCACGCTCGCCCACGACTTTCCATCCGGGGTCAGGATCTCGAGGCCTGGTTGGTCAGGTCGAGTGAAAAGGAGGGTGATGCTTCCGTAATCTGAATGCGCCCCTGCTCGGATATCAGCTTCGGGATTATAGTCAGAATCAGGTGGTAGCGTTGGATAGTAGAGGAAGCGTGTGGATGAAGAGGCTCCTTCATGGGACCGAACCAGCCAGTTGACATCCTCGATTGAAAGACCCAATGCGATGAGTCGAAGGATACGAGTGGTTATACTGCGACATCTAGCGTGGAAGTCGCGGAGAGCAGCATCATGCTTTTGGAAGGCCGTAGGAATTGGCTGGCGCCATTGACCGGTGGTGGGATCCGGGTCAGCTAAGTTGAAGGCTTGTTTGAAGTCGCCTCGTGAGTGTTGCTTCGGATCGAGGTTCTCAACGTGTATGCCGATGAATCCACGGTTGTGCTTGATTCTGCACCTTTCTTTCTCACCTTCCGGGGCATCTTTGAAAAAGGATCGCGAGATGTCGAATATATGATCAACAACTTCTTCGTTGAGATCGCATGCGCTTTTGTCGCCGCCATCATCAGCGACAGGGGATCCCGCGATCCATAAGAATCCCCATTTGGCTGCTGCTTTCACGATAGCTCTCCCCAGCTCGGGTGTCTCTTGAGAGATGTCAAAGAGAGGCAGATCAACCGACTCGTCGGAAGCACCGTCCGCTCCGTTGGGTAGCGTGACTGAAGGCATGGCTGGGAAATGAAAGTGATGCGAGATTGAGGATGTCTACCGGCCTCGAAATAAAATTCCTAAGTTCCCTTACATGATGGCAACGCTGGTGCTGACTCTGTTTATTGTATTCCTCTCAGGAAATTGATAAGCGGACATCGACGGCAGTGTCGATGACTGCCAAGGCTTGTCACATGATTCTCACCCTACAGCGTGAGTTGCGCTTTCTGCCATCGTTGATAGTCTACTTTCTCTATCAATCGATTCAACGATGACTCTAAGGTTGTTCTGCCACTCGCAAGAAGCGGTCGGAGCCGCCCGTTTGACAACAGTACGAGATACCGAAGCGATGCATACGGGCTAGGTGTTGAGTTCTCGGTCTATCAAGGAGCGAGAGAGGCGCGGAAGCTCGAACCTAACGACGCGTATTACATAACTGCGGATTTTCCGACACGATGGAATCGGCGTTGCCCTTGGCAAAATTGAGATGTCAATCGGCTTCAGTGTTCAAGAAACATCATGGATTGACCAATGCCGCTCGGAATCTGGCTATGACTCATATGGTGAAACGGAATGCCACCAAGTACTTGATGGTAGTAGTGGGACGGTTTGTTAGAATTCAGACGTCAAGCATCATAGCTGAGCTATATATACCGTCGGCACCCCTGGTTCAGCCAGGCCTGACTTTAGGGGCCTTCAAGATCTAAACGTCCAATCTCGCAGACCATGGGCATCGAAGAAGCCCTCTCAGCCGAGCTTCGGGAGAAGCTTCGCGACGATTTATTAGCCGCCGACCACAAGTTTATCCTCGAACTTCCCAAGGTTGAGCTCCACGTCCACATCGAAGGGACCATAACCGCCGAGCTCAGATGGAAGTTGACTCAACGAAATGGAACACCACTGAGAATCGCCAAGAACGGCCCCGAGCTCCAAAGTCTAGAGGAATTGCAGGCTGCGATGGACTTGCTTCGGCCAGATTCCAGCCGCGTGAACAATGATGAAGAGCGGTTTCAATTTTTCGAGGCATATTATGAAGGGTTTGAGTGTCTTAAGACAAAGGAAGATTATTTCGATCTGGCTATGCATTATCTTGGGCATGCCGCCACGGTGAATGTCCGGTATTGCGAAATCTTCTTCGATCCCCAGGGTCATACTAGTCGTGGAATACCCTGGAACATCATGATGGAAGGTTTTCGAGAGGCTCAGAAAAAGGCAGAGAAAGAACTAAAAGTATGTATCGTCCCTGTACGACTCGAAGTCATCGGATACTAACTTTTCTGAATAGGTGAAGTCAGCGTGGATCATGTGTTTTCTCCGAGATATGTCTCCAGAATCAGCTATGGAGCACTACAAAGCTGCACTACCTTATCGCAACATAATCGTCGGAATCGGGCTCGATTCAAACGAGACGGATCGTCCGCCTGCACTTTTCGACGAGGTCTTTTCCCTAGCCCGAAACGACGGCTTCAAGCTCACGATGCATTGCGACGTGGACTCGAAGAATGCACACGAGCATATCAGACAGGCTGCATCAGTCGTCGCAGGCAAAGGACTTGACCGGATCGACCACGGTCTCAACGCTGCCGAGGACCGGCGCTTGATCGAGTTGATCTTGAAGCGTGATGTAGGCATGACGCTTTGCCCCTGGTCCTACCTACGACATACGACGTACGCGGAGCTAGGGCCGAAGATCCGTGTGCTGTACGATGCAGGGATCAAGATCTCCATCAATAGCGACGACCCGGCGTATATGGAAGATTGTTGGATTTTGCAGAACATGTTGTTGGCGAAGCATTTGTGCGGATTTGACGACAAGGATCTTGTTGTTCTGGCGAGGAACGCTGTCAACATTTCTTGGGCAAGTTCTGCGGTCAAGGAGAATATCCTGAAGGAAATTGACTTGGTGTATGATAGATTTCACCCGGCTCAGTAGAGGTACCAAACAAAAAGTTCTGGTCACTGATCGTCGCTTGGATTTTCCGGATCGGTACTCCTTTCAAGTCTCGATAGCTAGTTCCTTTGTCGTAGCCTTGTCTTCATCTGGCTCCTGCCGTAAAGCACCCAGAACGAGACGCTCCCACTTTGCAAGCACGTTCTCAATCTCTTTGGGGAGGGGCTGCTGCTTCATCGTGGTTTCCGTTGTTCCTCCGTCGTCATCATCAGTTGAAGAACTAGCGTCCGGTATGGCCGCGATCTTTTCATCATCCAGTCGTTTCAATAGTTCCGAGATCTTCAGTTCTTCTTGAGCACGGGCGTGGAGACTCCTCGCGAATTTCAAATCCTCCTCGCCCTGAGCATTGACCTTGGCTCCTTCCACCGACCCTGCGTTGTCGATATTGACCCCAAACTCAGCATCAACAAGAGCATTAGATCTTGCTGAGCCCTTAGCCTTAAGTGACGTGCCCTTGCCTCTCGAACTCGTAAGCGCAGCAATAATCCCCTCTAGAATCCCCAGCACATTTCCCACTCTCAAGCCAACCTCCACACCAACCGGATATCCAGCATCAAAGCCCCTCTGCATAACGCGTGCCTTCCCCACAGACAAGCCTTCTCGATAGCCATCAGTCATGTGCTGTCTCCGGATCGCGGGCAAGTCTGAGAGCACATCACCCCTCATAAACTGTGGATGAGAGTCTAGATCGTGAGATTGAGATATTGACTCGCCGTTGCCATGAGTTTGAGGGAAATGGTCGGACGAGGTATCCCAGATGTCATCGTCTGCGCCTGGTGATTGTTCTGGCTCTGTAATTGCAGTGTCGGTCGACGAAGGCGTTGGTGACGGGGAATCTTGTGACTTCGCTGAGTGTGTCGTCGTGGCGTGTTCCAGAGACGATGATTCTTCCATAGTTATAACGAGGGTGACGGTGCCCGGGGCCGGCGCTACCAACTTGGGCTCCTTGAATTGAATCCAATCTTATGTCGAAGTCAAGATGTCATCGAATATACTTGCTGACGAAGCCAGCGCCACTTCTTTTACTGTTGTTGAATTCTAGGATGCAAACTGTAAACCTTGTAAAAGTCGCAACTCACGGATGTTTGCTTCTTCGAAATTGTGTCGACTTCTAGAAAATGTGGACGAAAAGAAAGACAATGGGTCCGATGACTGATCCCCGAGAGTCAGCCTGGTCTGTCATTTGAAACACTTACATATGTCACGTGCACGAAATTCAGCCTTGGGGAGAAAAGGAGATCAAGTGATCAATCTACATCACCATTTCTGAACACCTCGCTGATCTAAGTACCTGTCCTAAGGGGTATCATCTTTTCGTTCTGCTTGATAAAACATGTCACTGATCAAAAACGTCAACTCTGCGGCACTCTCCGATACTCCCTTCCAGAGTCTCCCACCCGCCACGCCCGTAGGGGCAAAGCCTGCAAACCCAGCGCCTTTCGCTCAATGTAAAGCCAAAATGTGACTGCTCCCAGGATCACAAATACTACGTTGGTAATGTAATACCCGTCCCGTTGCATAAGGCATGTGCCGCCTCCTTTCACGCAGACGTTCTTGTCTGCCTCAAGTGCGCAGCTGAATGAAGAGGTGATGAGAGTAGCGTCAGGGTGTGCCTTCAAGAAAGTGTCCGGATCAGTGGGCGGGATACATGTTGCCCTTGTGAAGAGGTCGACCATCTTAAGGATGAAGAATTTTGGGAATGTCCC